AGAGAATGGCAACTGACCATGGGCAAAGTGAGACAATCAGCCGCCGGATTATATCGCATAATAGACAACAAATACAAGACTTCAAACGAGCTATTCTTGAGGAGAGCGATGCGATCGGTTTCGCACAGGCGTTGAAACGATTGCAAACTCTTCATAAAAGCGACAATCATTTGTATCTCTCGCTCCCAAATATAACCCATCGTTTGTCTCAACTCGTGAAGTGTGACAATCTCTGTGACCGACGCTGTCTTCGGGCACTCAATGAGACTGTTGTGGACGGCGTCCAGCAATTCGCGGAGCACTTTGCGCTCCGAGTCGTTAAATGGTGTGCTTTCGGCTGAGCTGTCCGTAGCTATCGGTATGATTGACAGCTCAAACTGTACGACCCTTTCGTACACGTCGTCCGATATGTCGGTGTCGTCGCCGGCGGTGAACGAGTGGTTGTTATTATTATTGCGATCAATGGTTCCGATCTCCAGAAGTTGGTGATCGTCACCGATTGGCACCAATTGTTCGCCATAGTTATCGTAGGCGAAAAAGTCTGTGTCTAATAGATTGGCTGTTGTGTTGGTTATAGGGCTGACGGAGGGAAGGGGTGTCGCATCCGCTGTGCAAACACTTAATAACGAGTACTCATTGTTTGTGTCGACGCCTGTGTTTACGGCAAACATATCGCGCGAATCGCTGATCGTTTCGCTGTATTGCGAGTAAAACGATGTCATCGTCTCGTCGGGAGAGGCGGTGCCCGATGACGACGAGGGATGGGGTGTCGCGGGTGTGGCAGAGGTTTCGCCGCTACCCTTCCGTTGCCGGCGTTTGGCCTCTAATTTCAAGCGCCGAAAGTGTCTTTCCTCGTCATTCAGTATGAATTCCTATGTGTTTATTATAAGTACAATATGTGTGTCATGTATAAGAGTGTAAAATGATCATGGTTATAATTTTGAAATTTACCCTCTTCATGCCGATATCGAAGCACTTGGTGAGCCGACACTTTTGGCAAAACTTCCTAGTTACCTCGTTGATTGGACACATGCCCTCAAACAGGCATTCAAACTGTTAGTTATAGTAAGAATATTATTGAGAAACTCATTGTAAAAATAAAATTATTTAATAATATAATAATAACATTAAATAATAATAATTAAAAGTAATAAATACAGTGTTTTTCAACGCGTTTCTCCTAAAAAATGCTTTACACGGCTCACACGTAACGGCACCAAAATTTTTGCCTAAATATTAATTAATTATTAATTTATTTGTTGTTATGTTTATGTAATTAATTGCATACCAATAGCCTTATGGCCGCAAACGCCGCATATCTTTGGCTCACGTCGTGATTGCTTTGATTTAAATTCAGTCATATTTTTGTTGTAATACAATATAATTACAAATAAAACTATTTATTTTTATATGAAAAATATGTTACACTTGCACTAAAAAAATCAATACACTATATATTCTGTTATTTTTATAAACCATTAAGGTAAATCAAAAGCTGCTGTCAAATAATGTATGCAATTGACTGCAAATAACGTCAATACAGGCATAAAAACAATTGTCACAAACACTTGATTCACAATATATAATGAATGATTGAATATTCTTGTCTAGTGGTAGACTGTATGCAAACTAATCAACCAAAACCATCACATATTTTAATAATGTTTAATTAATTAATAACTCACAAAAAAAGTTCACAAACTTTAAATTAATGTCAATTAAATTAACAAATTATGCAAATAATGAGCAAAAATATACGCCACTAAACACTGCAATATTATGAATAAATTGTCAATTCTATAGCACAATAAAAATTGTATATAAAAAACTAGTTTTCATATAAAATTATACATTAAATCAATACAATGAATGCCCTGCAACTCGTGATTACACAGTGTGTTTAATGTTTAGTGCATTTAATGATTGGCATCTACTGTACATATAAAATATATTTTATGTAGATAGAGTGTGCTTGTATTTTCAATGTCACCGAGTTTGATTTTTAAAACTACACTGTTTAGAGTACATGTTGGTTAGTTTTTGGTGCAAAAATAGTGCAAGCCGTTTCATTGGCTGGCCACCATGTTATTTGAAATGCACAAATTGCTCCTGGTGAAGGGAACTTCCCTTTTAGTTCCTTCTCTTATTTCTTTATATTGTATTTTGTGTTGAATTTAATTAAAAGTTTTTCTCAGAATTTGTTCAATGGGTGGAAATTTTGTTGCGATTGTAATACACGAGACGCTAATCAATGATGATTTCAATATTTGTTTTGTCTATGATTTTTAATAATAGTATTTTTAGTCCAAAAATATTGATTATAAATATTGCGATGAAATTCTGGAAATATATTCCGGATCTTATTTATACACATCATATGTTTCCTAAAATTGTTTCATTAGTCATACTATTGTTTTCTATCAATATTTAAAATAATTATAATTATATTATTATATTTGCATTAAATATCTATAATTATAGTCTAATAAATTCCGGATTTAATATATCACTATCTTATTGACCAAACAGTACATGTTTTGCAGACCAGGGATCAGCTCTGAAAATAGTGTCTTTGTTTCCCCGCCTAAGTATTATATCAATAGATAGTTTGCAATTTATTATATATTCAATTACTGTTGTGTAATAACAGGTGTATAAATAAAATAAATTTTATTACCTTAAAAACTTTTGTTAAACACTATTCAAACGCGTGTTAATCACAATATTTAACGACATCTCTATTCACTGAATTAAATTGTTTTGCACTAAAAGTACACATTTTGAACTTTACTACAGGTATTATGTGTAGAGAATATTCTGTATATTTCATGTGTGTCTAATGAATCAATTATTATAATTACAATATGCCTGTTTTATTATTTCAAGGTTTACCCTGTTAAAATTAATTTATTCTTAATACAAACTCGCTAACTCACATCTACTGTATATTTAATCAACTAATCCCTTTTATTTGTGATATTATAAATTAGTACATGTAGTTATTTATAAATATTGCTTGGTATATAATAAGTAATTTTGGTTATAGGTTTATTCTCTCTCTCTCTCTCTCTCTCTCTCTCTCTCTCTCTCTCAAATATACCCAAATAATTCATGATGAGAAATGTACCATACACACAATAAAATATACAGAATGCAATAATGTCTATGTAAAGGACATAGTGTGTACAATATACGGCACTTGTGTTTGTATCTCATGGTCTTCTCTCTTTCTCTCTCTCTCTTTCTTTCTCTCTCTCAATATAAAATTTATTAAATATAAGTTATATTAATTTATATGATTAAATCACAAATTAAATATTCGACATATTTATTTTTAGTATAACAAACTATATTGATTAATTAAATATTAAGTGGCTTGATGTAATAGCATTTGAATTTTATAGTAAATTAATTAAAGAATATTCTATATTTAAATAATAATATAAGCTTTACTATAAAATAATATAAAAACTGTAATAAAATAATTGAAACACACTTAATGTGAATATTTACAAAGTTGTAAATAATGTTTGTATAGATTTAAGACTAGATTTAAGTTTAAATTATAAGAGTGTGTAAAACAGCTGTCAATGTATTGCAATACAAAAGGGCTATCAATGAGAGTGTGTGTCAAATATGAGCTCAAAGAGTGTGTATAAAA